CGTATTGGAAAACTTTGATTGTCAATGGATTATCAAGGCGGTGGTTTTATCACAAACACAAACGTGATGATACCGATCCCAAGTCGGAAGTAGAATGCGTATAAATACATACAAACGGACAGGATTAAGTATAGAGGGATATACATGTACATCCCCGACTCTGACCGAAGGGAAGAGAGGGTCTTGTACTGTGCGATCGAACTAAAAAAGCGTGTGAAATATCAGATAAAGAAATAATTTCTCATCACGTTATTTCAAGCTCCACTGTAGTGGGACTATAAGGGCTTGTTGAGCTATTGAGAAAATTTACTCATGCTGTACGGCCATTGGAAAATTAGCTTAGCCTAGATACTTGTTATATAACGATGGCGTGGCGCCCACCACTCAGCTCGCGTGAAACTTACCTCCCGCCATGGATTCTTCAAAAGTTGAAGAGCTTTAGTACGATACTCGCGTACCACTTTCTCAGCGCGCTCCTATTCCCGAAAATATCAAAAAGCACCTCCTACCTTCGAAAATACTTTCTTAATCTGATCTCTTATCTTTTCCCCTCAAGGTTCCAGCTCTCTTGCTGGTAGCAATTCAGGTCGATTCTCACAACATCCAAGTGAATTTTCGACTGATATTCATCATGCACAAGCCATTCTTCCGACGCTACATATGCCATCATACTTTCGCTGTGTGCACTGTGAAGATTAATGCTGGTTTGGGATTTGTCGGTACATGAAGTTGCAGAGGACGATATGGACGAGCCGAGTAATAATTTTACCTTAAGCTTTGACTAGAGAAGCCCTGTTCCTATCTCTTAATGCCGGTAAGATTCGTTGTAATACAATACATGCCCAGTAACATCTGTTAGAACCTAATGCGCGCGCGTAGCGCGCGGGGCGAAAAATATAGGTATTATGTCATCACGTGACAGGTTTGAAACGGTTCGCAACCTGTTCGCAACTACCCCTTCGCTAGGCTGGAGGTTTGACCCAGGTTCCGAACCTCTGAGGTAGTTTTTTCCCTCAACCCTATTGCAAAGTCGAAGTTTCCTCGCTCAACGACCACGTCTAAGATCTAGAGCCTGTTGAAAAAATGAATAATCTTACTTTACTGTTTCAATCGTTACAATGCACAATTCCTATTTGGGCACAACCTGCGTCATCAAACTTGCGACAGGAACAAATGCAGAAATTGCCAGTATCTGATTTATTGGATGCACCATTTATGCGCATTACTGATACTACACCGTTGATTACGCGTAAAGCAGCTATTCATGCAGTGGAAACACGATGTAAAATATACTTATTCCATTTACTGCTCTGCCACAGAACTCAGATTTGTTTAAGAATGTAGTTTCCAGTTATCAAAGTGAGTTCGGAAATCCATTAACATCAGCGTTGATGAACGCAGTACCTATGTCACTTCCAGTAACTACTCATATTCTTTCGCAGCCTGATATACTCAAAGATATTCAGCAATTAATTGCTTGCAGTGAAGAAGGTGAGCAACTGCAGTTCATCCAAGCTGTAAACTTACAAATGCGATTGAATGATGGTGAACCACTGTATAGTACGACTTCAATATACAGTGCTATATATACTCGTTCTAAGTTTCGCGATGTATGCCTCGCGAAAAGTTTTCAGCGTGATTTTACATCACTTTATTCGATATCTGTGTACAATTTACTGACCATGTACCTCAGTAAATGCAGTGAACATGGTATTGACGCAGTGAATACTGTCGAAGATGTTTTGATTTGTCCAAATTTTATTCCTTACACTAAGAAACTCATTAACCTATATAAACCCAGTAACCTATGTAAACTTTGCAACTGTAATCAAAATTTCTCTTCCAGGCTCAGCTACATTTTTGTTAACTGTATCGAACACTGGCTCACAATACACTAGCCTGAGTCGGGGATTGCCGCACCAGCGGCGCTAACGATGATTAGTCGTCCCTAGACAACCCAGCAGCCAGAAGAATAAAAAGCACAGGCGAAAAAGACATTGAATACTCAATCTCAAAAACCTGGTAGGGGTGGCGACAAATCTCTGTGGAAAGACAGCTAGGTTAGCCTGAAGATTAGTAGGTGGGGTATTGTGGGATGGGAGAGTATAAGAAAATAACGGGCCCCTTCCCATACGGCTGTTGGAACAGGTAGAACGCGTCGCGTCTACCTGTCCGTCATTGGAGCCAGGCCACGTGATGGCAAGTAACTTGTATGTAGCGTAACTTAAGCTAATACTACCACCTTTACCGCTAGCTAGCGAGCCTTGGGCGTACCAGCGGACCCCTCGGCCCTCTCCACTGTTGCACTGGCCCGTCCACTCCGAACCACAAAAGTTTTCGCTTCCCATAAGTTTTCCATAATATACACTATGAAGGAAATTTCACTGTCTGCCTTAGCAAGGTGAAGTATATACACACATACGGATGGATAACGAGTCTGTCTAGGGGAGACTAAAGGCCAAGTACTTGGTAGATAGTACAGATATATGTCGAAGTGGTCCAGTGGGAACCGGTACTAGATACCTAATTCAACCCGAAAGAGTGCACCAGTCCTCAGGCTATTCCCCTGTATAATGCTATGAGTACAACAGCATCCCATTGAGAAATCTATTTCTCATTCCGCTATCTTCCCAATGAGGCCCCACTGAACCCGTTATTTTTCGGATATCGCCGTCGTGCCCAGCTTCGCCAGTACCTGTACACGAAGGAGTTTTGTTTCTGGCTACTTTTGTGAGATGTCATTCAGATCCCAGATCATGTTCGAACTAATTCCCTTGATGATCTCTCCGTTTATGCCGTTTACTCTGAATCCAGATCATTCTTGCTCTCTCCACAATATACTTGTCATCCTCTACCGTGGCCTAGCGCTAAACGTCAACAATATCGCGTGCCTTCAGACTAAAGCCTATATTTTGTCGATCGAAATCTGAGCCGTCGTTCGCGGATGGGATACAGCTACTCCCTCATCGTTTAGTCCACCCCTTTCGACAAAACTGGTGACAGAACTTTCATGCACGACGGACCTAATCCGAAGCACTGATGAAAGAGCTTTTCCTCCCACTGCTTTCAAATCTTGTAATTATAATTCAACATCACATACTGGATCCCGGGATGACTGCTTACACCCAGAGATCGGGCTATTCACTTTCACTCTGAAGCTGTTATCCCGCTGTACATAACTCAAACAAACTCCCACAACATGAGCACAAACGATGAATTACCCCCTGGTAGTATTGAACGGCAGGCTGTGTGACCCTACTTGAATGCGAGCAGGAACAGTCTTAATCATGGTCTCGGGTTGTAATCTTGACATCCACATCCTAAAGAAAAGTTCTAGAAAAACATCAGCCTGTGCCTTTAGCTCATTGACGATTCTTGTTCCCGGGTAGCCGCCTTCTGGAACCAATCACCTCTGGATATGTTCACAAACAGTTCATCGCAACCATTACATCGCTTGGATTTTCAATAGTAGGGCATGTTTGTTTCCATAGGGTGCTAGGAACTTGAAGTGGAATTGCCGAAGTTTCTCGGTATTACATGATTTAACTAGTACATCTTGGGCGTACAACGATTGAAAAGAGAATTCAAGGAAGACCTCGTCCAGAATTAACCGCATTGGCTACCTGGCTGGTGTTTGGACGATTGAAAGCATATCTGAGTACTGATGGTTAATTAAGAGAACTCAAAAGAGATACGAAAGAACTGACCTCTCGTAACTGTCGACGTACAGATCCTCCGTACTACAAGTTTTCTTGAAGTCAGGATGATTGAAGAGCTTGTTCAACCACGTTTCGAACTTTTTGCCATGAGGGAGCTCGAATCCTCGGTAGTACGTCAGTACGCTCTTAGCTCGGTATAGCCCTAGGATAAAAGGTAAGGATCATGCAACCATCCTGAAATTCGGACTGCTAACAAGGTCCAGCCATAACATCAACCAGGCCCAAGTCTTCATTGCCGTCAACCCACAGTCCAAGACCAATAGCGAGAGCCTGCTTCTCTCCCTGACCAGAAGCGCCCCCAGTTTGGACAACCTCTCTCTCTGTACGTTCGAGCAGTTCAACGAGTTTCTCGATCGACTCATGAAACTCTTTCCCCGTGTTTATCTGTGCTTCCTCATCCTGTGCCTGAAGGTATCGATAGAAAGCGGGAACAAGGGAACGGTTGACATGGTCCGATTGAAGTCGCACAAGAGCGCGGGCATCTGGATAGAATGGTCAGAAAATGGCGATACGAATAACAGTCCTTGTATAGATACATGGATTAGTCGATGGAGGAAGTAAACTTCGGCCATTCGACGATGCTGCCAAACTACAAAGATGCGTTAATGGAGGCATTGGGGCCCGGGTACCACTCGCGTCTTACTCGAGGATGTATTCCAGGATTACGGTACTTTCGTTCAGAGCTGTCGGTGGATTAAAATTGTTTAACTTGAGGCCCGGTACAAGGCCTTTCGGCGACACCTCGAGAAGATCCTTGGGCTTCTTGTACGGATCGACTTCATCTGTTCATCGATAGTTCAGTTATTAATAGTAGAGATATCCTGGCTCGGTAGCTTGCTCACAATACTACCCATTTAACGTAAAGATTCGAACTCTTCTGTTGAGATTGAAGAACGCATACCTTATACGGGATCTGCAAGTACTCAAAAGAGGTCCATACCCGCTGAACAAAAGGACAAAAGCAGCTTCCAAAGAGTGTTATATCCTGATCTTGTGTGTGTTTCTGAGCAGTCTCGAGAGCCTGTCCCGTGCACTCGATGTGATACGCCTTTCCTGTGTAGGTTTTGGAGACCATGATGGATGAGATCAAGCAAGTTGGAGCGGGATTTCCGTCGGAGTTTAACTGAGTGTCAGCTGACTAAAAGAAAAACAAAACAATGACATTCGAAGGGATTGCTTGTGTTGCTTGTTTCAGCTAGTTTATAAGATACGAGGTTCGTGGAGTACTAAAAAGTATGATTCCTGGCGAAAAAGAAGCTACGAAAGGTCATCGTGGTTTATTGGTAACGGAGGGGTTCGAACCCTCGCACGCTCTCGCGTATTGGGATACGTGATTCATATGAATCAATGCTTAAATCCAACGCCTTAGACCACTCGGCCACGTTACCATAAATACCGTACCAGCTTTGGCCCATACAATGTTGAGCACCTCGCGATTGATCGATCAAGAAAGAACCTAAACTGACTCCTTCCGGTATGAAAAACGTATTGCGTATGCGTATGATTATGCGTTCGTTCTAATGATAATACGGCAATGTGTATAGATAAAACATGTTGATACAGAATTATATGGAACAAAAGTATGGGGGTGCGGGGGTGCCAGCGAAAGAAAGAAAAGCGACGATCCGATCCAACACAAACTCTTGAACTCTCTCATGCGACATATGCAAACGTATCCTTGGAGCCATCCACCCGCTCGATATACTCTTTCTCGAGAAGAGTTTCTATAGCCTGCACAAACAAAGATGATACAAAGATTATTATAACACATCATCAGCCTCAAACAGCGAACGACAGCGAGCTCAAAGGCACGAACCTTTTTGATATCGGGGATCCTGGGTGCAAATCGATGCGATATTTGCGAAATGACCTCCTGGATAAGGGCCTGGTTCTTCATCGTTTTTCGTGCCTTCATGATACTAAACGGGACGCAGCAATCAGAGAAGAAAACCCTAATAATAATAACCACCACTCACCGAACGATGGTAGCCTGAATCGCATATTTACGATCTTCGTCAACAGCCTTGAGTACCTCGTTCGACTCCTGCTTGACCTCAGCCTTGATAGGCAAATTCAGGTTGACACGAATCTTCTTCGACTTGAACCCTAAACGTAAAACGTTCAGTTAACGAGCGGCGGAAGTGTTTTGGCATGAATTACCCGGATTCAAATCATACTGTTCCGACTCTTCGTTGATTAAGATTTTGGCCTTCACAAGCAGGGCGAGTACCTGCGTCAATATATCCTTGCCAATCGAAGTGGCCGCGAAAATTTCATCCAATGACATCGTTTCGTTCTTGTTGTACAGAACCAGCACAGCCATCTGGTACGAGCTCGTCATCAGGATATATTTCTGGTTCAGGTAGTTAGTGCGCAGCTCGTTCTTGGAATAATTCCACAGCCATGTGAGTTTACGGCCAGAGTGTTTCGTCTGGTAGTATTTCTGGAAGCGGTCGTAGGTGGTGAGTATCTCCGCGGGAATGACGAATTCATGTGGTGGGGGATTGAGAGGCCAGAAGTTGGTTCCGAGGACCATGACGCTGAAGGTGATATCCATGTCGTCGTGGTTCTGAGACATTCGCTCCTTGAAGGAATCTGTGAGATCTTTGCTCAAACTCATATCTAGCGGAGAAACGTCAGCGGTACGGAAAATTGCAAGAAAAATGCCGCGAACCTGTAAACATGCGCTGTAGTTTGTTTGTGTACTCGAACCCACAAGCCTCCTTGAGCTTCGATATCATACTAGCTTCACTCTCGTCAGAGGCAGAAACACCGTGAATGAGTCGTTTGGAAAGTTTTGTCGTGTAGAACGTCTGGAAGACGTCCTTGTCCTCGAGGTACTTGAACAGCACCATCTACAAAAGCGTTAGTCGAGGAAAACTCAGAACAGAAACCCAAAACATACGACGCGATTCAATGCACCCTCCAAGTCTTCCTCCTCAGCCATCTTGTTATTCTTCCTCAACAGCATATCCGCGTGCTTAGCAATGAGCTCTGGAGACTTTGTCGAAGACGATCCGGTAGCGGTGTTGCGGTTCACAAACTCTCTGCAAGCCTTATCTAAACTCGCCGCGAATCCAGCCTCGCTCTTGAAGCTCCGTGTGACCGTCTCCGAATTCTTCTTATGCACCTCGAGCAGCGCATCGACGTACACCTTTGGATCGATGGTATCTGCGTTTCCGCCCTCTCCGATGAGCTTCGAGATGGAGGCTAACCCTGCCTGCTTGACGTGGCCCTCGAATCGTTTTCGCAGAGGCTCCAGACCCTCTGGGATACGCGAGAGCAATGCGTACATCCGCTGGAGGTCCTCGTCCTGGTCAAAGTCGAGCAACTTCTGGAAGCTCTCCCACATCAACTCCGAGTGCTCACGAATAAGAACGTCTTCACATTTTGATATAAGCTCTTTGCGTGTCTTGGTATGTAGATACCTTTCGATACGGTCATCCTCTTCTCGTAGACGGTCTTCCGCCTTTTTGAGATATTCAGAGACGGTGTTGGAGGCGAGGAACGTGTCAGACTCTTTCTTGTAGTATTTCTCGGTAGCGTCAATGAAAGGAGTTTCGAAGTGCTCTTTGTATACATCAAGACACTCTTTGATCGGGTCGTTGTTGTCGAGACCGAGAGAGACGAAAGAAAAGACGACTTTCTTCACTAGACCTTGATCAATCACTTCTCCATTCCGCTGACGCTCAATGAGGCGGAGAAGGGCGCTGGCGAGCTTTGTGTCCTCCTTTTGTATAGGAAGGAAAAAGTGCTGCTTCCATTGAGCCAAAGCGAGCTGTGATGAAATAGATTAGAAAAGTCGTTGCAAAACACGAGGGCACACGACGTACCGTGTATACTTGATAGACGTTTTTCTTTCCTTCGTCTCGTTCTCTTTTTACCCAATAGCGATTCAAGTACGTAAATAATCGGTTCAGAAAATTGGCACCAGTTGTGTATCGATCCCATTCAGTGGCATAATACCGTAGCAGTTCTTCGTCTTGCAGTCCAGCAGTTTTCTGTGACAATTTCAGGACACATCTACAACATATCTAGAAGAAAGCGGACCTCTTTCATCGACTTGAAATGTTCAACAAAATAGTCTTGGAGTTTCACGTACAAATCCGCGCCGACAAGATTTGCGCCCGCTGAACGACGATGGATCAGATTATAAACAATTTCACAATGAAAAAATAAAATACTTGCTTCTATTACTATCAGTTTTACCGTGCATTTTGGTGGATGTGCAGTAGTTGTACACCGTTGTGTACAGATTTGTGTAGCTCGGAAAATCCATGCCCGTGTCTAGCTTATTCATTATGTGGTCTACGCCCTTGGTGAGGAAGGCCCATGTCTCCTCGAGATCAGCTGTACGAGGCGGGGCACTGATGAACGCGTCTGAGGTTGAAGATGAAGCCATACGTGATGGGCCACTGACACTGGTGGTAGATGGAAAGTAGAAATTGGTGGTCACGCTGACTACGCGCGGCACCGCCAGGCGCTTATTGGCGCACAGCGGGCGCTAACAACAATAACTAACGAGCTTGCTAACGTCCTTTGGATCCGTTGTATTAGACAACAGCCAAGTCGGTATGGAGATGAAGAGTGCTTATCTATCGATGTCACTTTAAGTTAGTCCGCCGCTCCAATTTCTATGCAGTTTCAGCAATAATTTAATTGACACGGCCTTGAGCAAAAACCGATATACTAGTAGATACTAGTACGCCTAATCTTAATAAATCCGAATTCTAATACGACACCAGATATTTGGAATACTAATCCAAATTCCAGTACAATGTACAGACATTTGGAGTAGATCTAAACAAGTCAACAAAGTTACTCAGTTCCAATACAAGTTTTACGGACAGACGAGGATCTGCTTACAAGTTACATGTTTCAAAGTCGAGCAAGGCAATGCGCCACACGAGTATGGGTGCCAAAGCTCCTAGGAGATGAGGCTCTCGACTCTTGGTTGAGTCTAAAAGATCTAAACACCGTCCGTAGGAAAGGGTTTTGTGGCATCAGCTACGTTGTGAACCCGTTCAGTGCAGTCCGCGTCAATCGTAGCAGTGGCCTCAGATTCGTGCATAGATTGCGAGTCAAACTCGAACACTGCTCAGAACAATGCTGAGCAGAGATTCTGGCAAGTAACCGTAATCGAGAGATCTCGACAATGATAGCCGCAATGATTCGGAGTTCTCCAGGCCAACGGTATAGAGTGCCCTTGTACCTTCTATGGAGTTTGTCCACTGTCACCTGAAGATTTTGGGTTTTTTTTCAGTAACATCAGCGGATATCCGGAGATATGCTTTGTTCTGAATACAGGAACGCCAGGGCGGCTCGAATACTCGAAACCAAAAGCCCCAGAAACAATGCTACGTCGGATGTGCGGATGGTAGTACTGAGTCAACTCCAAATTATTACGAGCGTAAGCGGAGCCGACGAAAGCCTCCGACCCGCCTCCGACTACCGATTCCGTCGAAAACTCACTGTCCTCGAGGTGTCGCAAAGTCCAAAAAAGGAGACAGTATCACGTGCACTGTCCTATCTCTGCGTCATCCGCGATTGACGGTTATCAAGTTGGTAACAATGTCGCATAAGCTGTACCTGTCCAAGGCGTCAGTTTCTTCTTGTAGCTATCTCAAACAACTGTTGGCTCTCCAACTGCGTCGGAATCCAAGCTCAAACCTCCACGACACGCCTGCGGCTACGGAGATTTTTCACCAGTTTCCTGACTAAATGTCATTAGTTGTCAGCTTTGATCCTTGCGCTGGGGTATAATCTCTATAACTGTTTTACCACTATCACAGCTATTAGGCCGTATCTATATTACGTCGGAAAGGCGCACCGTATTCGACGCCCAAATCCTGTTGAGCCCTACCCGCTTCCGGGCTGCAATGACTCTCGGTGATTCCTTCGTAAATTCGGACGGGCGCACTGCAAGGTATTAGAAAGTATATATACTGCAAGTGGCGTCCATGTTCTCCACTAATCCCTCAGCTTAACAAGCTATGGCCTCTCTGCAATCTGCTCCCCTGAAGACACATCTCACTATCCTCAAGGATAGCAGCGAACGATTTTCGCATCTTCCAGCCTTCAAGATTCCTTCAGAGGAATCCACCTCCAGCGGCGTCCCTCGATGGGATACCATCACTTTCAAGCAATTCTACGATGACGTCGAATCATGCGCAAAGTACTGGTCACAAGAACTCGGTTCAAGAGTACCTCTCAAGTCCGTCGTCGGACTGTGGTAAGTCTATTTTCTCTTACAAAGCTCGCAAGTACCAATAATCGCTAATCATTAATCATTATTTAGGATCGGAGGCTTCACATACTTTGATGTATTACACATCTACGGAGTTTCACGGGCAGGCTACGTGCCCCAGCTATTCAGCCTTCGTCTTCC